CGGACACCCTGTATATCAAAATCGCTTTGTATATCGACTTTGGTACAGCCCTACTTTTGACTTGAAAGAAAAGAACGACATCTATTAATTGAAGTATCGACAATTAAATAATAATAAGTTTGTTCGGACTTAATTCAGAATCAGTTCTGAATTGATCTGCGCTTGCTTTATATCGAACATAAATAAACAAATGCGCATGCGTAGTTCAATTCAGACCTGATTCTGAACTGATTACAGCGCAAAATCGGTAGGTATAACACAAGGATAATACACACTACTAAGGATTGCTTATCGGCATCGATTTCGGTAATCGCGGCCATATTGGTGTATCACCATTACGGACGTCATTAACTAAATCGTGAGCTGTTTGCGCCAGCGGTCCTCCTAGTTTAGAATTTAAATTTATGATTAAAAATATCATTTAATTTTGATTAACATAATAGGCAAAGAGGAAGATGCAAACGAGATCTGAACAGGAGTTCTTAATTTTAATTAATAATGTAGTAAGACCAAGTATGCATAAGGTAAAAGAACGCAGAATCATAACCTGTGATGCAAACAGTGCCTACGTCAAGACGAGAAACGACGTGCTGCCTACGTCACAACTGGTGATTTGGCGTAGTGGGGGGCTTTAGATTTGTTCTACACAGGTCTTATGAGGATATGCTATCCTTGGGTATAACCAGTGAGTATAACATAAAAACTAAAATCCAGCCGTGCTTTCCTTTAAGCTTTCTATTTCGTTGAGTATGTAAAAGTTCATAATAACTTGTATGTGAGATTTCAAACATTTGTATAAGCAGTCATTTTGCCTTTTGATAGTTATTCAGTTGTTTAGATAGTAACTTTACTCAATTAAGTTGGCAGACGACAGAAAATTGCAATTTAACAAACATATTGTGCAACTTATGTAACTTACTGCGGTTTCTGCCATATTGAAAATATGCATATTCTCATAACTACATTTCGCTTAACCAAATGGCAGACGGGTTTGAACGTTTTTTCATTATATAAACAATTTTTGTCGCAATTTTGTTCATTGTTTATTAGGATTTGTAACAGCCTGCAATTTCTGCCAGTCAAAACTTAGGCTTTTGGTAGCAACTTATTTAATATAAATTAATGGCAGACGGGAAATAATTGATCTCAACTTTGAAAATTTTTGACATTTTGAAAAATTAAAAATAAATATTTGTACCACTTCAATTTTTCTGCCGGTGCAAAGGTACATTATTTATCTAAAATCCATTGTAACAAAACATGTTTTAGGCGGGAGAAAATTGTTTCAACATCTCAGCATTTTGATACAACTTCAAAAATTGTTAAATATTATTATACCAACCGAGATTTTCTGCTATTTACTTATTGATATATTACATCGTAAATGTAACATAAATTTAATTTGGCAGACGGGAAGTCGTTGATCCACATGTCCGATTTTGGCAACATTTTAAAATTAGTAATATGACACTTTATACTAACCTAGGGTTTCCGCCGTTTAGCTTCTTTGTACTCATTTTTGTTGAAATTAACTTCACAATGTGTGGCAGACGGGATAATATTCATCCACATCTCCACTTTTCATTACATTTTCAAATTAGCATATCATTGTATTGTCACACGCGGGGTTCTTTGAAATTTCAGCCATTCCACTTCTTATTGCATAAAGAATAATTACCCTTAATGGCAGAGACGTGGTCATTATGCACCGGTCTATAAGTATAGGTCTCTTTGAGCCATGACCTATTTTTTCGAATTTAAAAATATCTGGTTCCTAATTGGAAAAATGTTTATGTTGGCAAGATTGATTTTGCTCAATTTTCAACCGAATTGATTGGAAATTTCAGTATGATGAATTCCTTTTGTTCCTTTTTTTAGCTCAAAAGTTTCAACATTTTCCCTTCACTAGTTTTCCAAAAACCTATCAAAATGTGAGAAAGTGTATTTTGCTCAATTTTCTATTTAAAAGTATATTTTCTAGAATTTCTTACATTGTCGTTTATTTAATGAATCGATTTGAAATTTTGATATGATGGAGCTCCTTTTCTTTTTCTTTTTATCCTAGAAGTTTCAAAAATTTTCCCTCTCTAGTTTTTTAAGAAAATATCAAAATGTAAAAGGTGTATTTTGCTCAATTTGCTATTTAGAAATAGATTTTGTAGAGTTTCTCATGAAGTAGGTAATTTTTCACTGAATCAATTCGAAATTTTAGTATGATGAGCTCCTTTTCTCCGCTTTTTCACCCAAAAAGGTTCAAACTTTTCCCATCTTCAGTTTTCCAAAAAAAAAAAATGTTAAAACTTGAAGAGTGTATTTTGCTCAATTTCTTATTTAAAAGTAGATTTTTTAAAATCTCTCACATTGTCATTTTTCAATGAATTACTTTGAAATCTAAGTATGATGAGCTCGTTTTCTTTCTCTTTTTATCCCAAAAGTTACAAAATTTTCCCAAAAAAAAAAATCATAATATGAAAAAAGGGTGTATTTAGCTCAAATAATTATTGTATTGTAAATTATTGTATTTAACTCAATTTCCTATTCAAAAGCAAATTTTATAGAATTTCTCACACGCGTAAAACTTTAACATTGAGACAGTATTGTCAAAGGTTTTTGAATAACACAAATATAATGTTAATAAAAAACTACAAAACATTTTACAAAGTTACCAAATCGTAAATACCGACTTAAAAATACTCCATTCATAATATAGATTGGCAACGATGCACAACAATTGTATACTTTTTCATAAACTTTTTGAAAATTTAAAATTGACAACATTTCGTTATTGAAGAACATAAGAAAATTTTGGAAAAAAAAGAGTAGGGTTGTCAAATGCTTTTAATAGAATAAATAAAGAAAAGTAATATCAACGAAAAGCTATATAGAACATTTTACAAAGTTGCCACGTTGTTAAATGAAACTTTAATGGGTACAACTTGAAACATAAATTCCACAATATGTAGGTATATAAGTTTGAGAATACTGTTGCCATATCAGAGAAAAATTATTTTAGAAAGCTAAATAAACTAAATTTAGTTTGAATTCGAAATTTTAGCATAAGTTCCTTTTTGCTCAATATTTAAGTTAACTTTCTAGAATTTCCTAAGTTGTTGTTTTTCACTGAATCAATTCGACATTTTAGTATGATGAGTTTCTTCTCTTCTTCTTTTTACCCTAAAAATTTCAAAATTTTTCCTTTAACAGTTTTTTGAAAACACACCAAATTATCCGGAGGGGCATTTTGGTTGTTTTGAGTTTTAAAAGTTGATTTTCTAGAGTTTTTCACATTGTTATTTTTCACTTAACTAATTTGAAATTTTAGTATAATGAGCTTCTTTTCTTCCTCTTTTCAGCTCAGAAGCTTAAAAAAATGTCCACAATTAGTTTATATTTTGCTCAATTTTAATTTTTCATATTGTCATTTTTCACTGAATCAATTTGAAATTTTAGTATGATGAACTCCTTTTCCTCCTCTTTTTACCTCGAAAGTTTCAAAATTTTTTCATCAATAGTTTTCTAAAAAAATATTGAAATGTGAAGGATGTAGGTATTTAGCTCAATTCCCTATTTAAAAGCAGATTTTCTAGAATTTCTCACATTGTCATTTTTCAATTAATTACTTTGAAATTTTAGTATGATTAGTTCCTTTTCTTCCTTTATTCACCCCAAATATTTCAAAATTTTCTCTCCATCAGTTTTCCAAAAAAAAAATTACCTAAAAAAAATATGAAAGATGTTAACAGATTCTGACAGTAGTCAAAATGTGACATGCATGAACTTTGTTTAATGTTTTATCACCAATAAACTACCTTGAAACAAAAAAGAACCAGATTAGAGTATTTTTTTCTACTAAAATAAATGACAGGTTTTGACAGTTTTGTCATTTTTTTTTTCAATTTTTGAATTTAGAATTCACATACAAGTTAAAAATGTCAAATGACATCATAAAATATTGAAAACTGGAAAAGATGAGTGCTGCCGTTTGACAGGGTTTTGATAGGTGTCAAAATGGTTGACATTTTTCGACTTAACTTGGTCGACTTAGTAGACATCGATACTTTGTTCATCAAAATCTGCCATAGTCACTCTTCTTTTAAATATAAGATTCCAATATTTGACAGCTAACCACGCCTCACCTGTCATATATACAGGGTTGTGCCTATGGTAAAAAACGTTGCTCTGGGCATCCCCAATAACATATTTAAATTTCATCCAAAAATCACGGGTAACCAATTTCCATTTATAAATATTGCGGGGTCCTTTTCTTGAATTTTTCACAATGTCATTTTTTAATGAATCAATTTGAAATTTCAGTATGATGAGATTTTTTTCTTTCTCTTTCCATCCCGAAAGTTTCGAAAATTTCCCTTCACTAGTTTTCCAAAAAAATATCAAAATATGAGAAAGCGTATTTTGCTCAATTTCCTTTTTAAAACTAAATTTTCTAGAATTTCCGGCATTGTCATTTTTCACTAAATCGCTTTGAAATTTCAGTATAATGAGCTCTTTTTCTTCCTCTTTTCACTCTGAAAATTTCAAAATTTACCCATCACTAATTTTGCAAAAAAATATCAAAATGTGAGAGGCTGTATTTTGCTCAAATTTCCAATTGAAAGTGGATTTTCTAGAATTTCTCATTTTTCAATGAATCAAATTTAAAATTTTAGTATATCCTAATCTTCTTTTCCATCTTCATTATAAAATATTACAATTTTTACCTCTTCTTTATCGTGTTTTTTATAAAAACATTTTAAAATCAAGATCAAGAGTATAAGAATCAATCAAGATCAAGATCAAGGCTAAAGCAAACAGGTTACAATGAGCTTTCGCAAGGTTATTAACATTGTAACCAAACCAGAATTTAATTAAAACTAAATTGCGTAATGTTAATACTGGTACCGTTAGATCATAATATGAACCCAAACAAAACAGAAATCAATCTTGTATTTCTATTTATATAAATATTTTTTATTTTTACTAAAAATCTATTTCTATTCTAGATATTCCTGGACCGTTCGGTACGAAACTGGCTCACCTTATCCATTCTGCTACTTCTATGCCTAACCTGCCATCTATATTTCAAAAATTTAAATCTTTACTGGAAAATCCGCAACGTCCCATACGAAAAACCTTATTTCCTAGCTGGAAGCCTTTGGAATGTTTTTAGTGGCAAAAGGCAAATCGGAAAACATTTGGGCGACTTGTACAAGAAATTCCATGGACCATATTTTGGAATTTTTATTTTCGGAAAACCTTATTTAGTGTTAAGAAGTCCAGAAATTATTAAAAACATCGCAATAAGAGATTTTAATAATTTCCAAGACCGCTCGTTTGCTTGTGACAAAAACGCCGACGATATGTCTGGAAATAGTTTGTTTATAATTAAAAATCCAGATTGGAGGAATATTAGAAATAAATTAAGTGGGATTTTTACTTCTGGCAAGCTTAAGAATATGTTTCCTTTGATGCTAACAACTGCCAGTCAAATGGAAATTCATTTGGAAAAATATGACAACCAAGTGGTTGAAATGAAAGAAATTGCAGGCAAATATATGACGGATTTGGTTGCAAAATGCTTCTTTGGCCTGGAAAATAATTCATTTCAACATCAAGAAAGCGAATTTAGGAAAGCTTGTATTAAAATGTTTGACCTGGATTTATCCAGGTCTTTTTCGTTGTTTTCTTATTTTTTTATTCCAAAATTTGTTTCATGGTTTAAATTAAAACTATTTGATACAACGTATTTGAGGCAAGTTTTTCTGGATACTTTATCTTTCCGGATGAAAACTGGATTTAAAAGGAACGACTTTGTGGATTTGTTGATTCAATGTAGAGACACTTTTCAGCAGGATAAAGGAATTATTAATGGAACAAAGTTTGGTAAAGACAAATTCATCAATTATATTAAAACTTTCAATAGGATTTCTTTTTTCTTTTTCCAGACACAACTTGTATGGTAGCTCAAGCCATCACGTTTTTCATGGCTGGATTCGAAACAACCAGCAACCTTTTAGGCTTTGCTCTGTATGAACTCAGCCTTAGACAACTTTGTCAGGAAAAATTGCGCCAAGAAATCTTGGAAACTTTCCAATCAACCAATGAAATCACTTTCGAAAAGATCCAACAAATGAAATATCTGGATATGGTTATAGCGGAAACTCTAAGACGTTATCCGTTTGGGCCTTTTTTGAATCGATATTGCAAAGAAGATTATGTTATAGAACAAACTGGGCTTAAAATTGAAAAAGGGACTCCTATTTTGATTCCTTTAGATGGAATACATTTTGATCCAGAATTCTATAAAGATCCAGAGCTATTTGAACCAGAAAGATTTGCAAATGGATACAAACATTTGTTGAACTCTTGCGTTTATATGCCATTTGGAATTGGACCTAGGAATTGTATAGGTAGGTATAAGCAAAACAAATTACTATGATTGTTATTTTTACAATAATTCTAGGTGATAGATTCGGACAAATTTGTGCCAAAGTAGGCCTGGTGTATTTCCTAAGGAAATTCAAAGTGGAAAAGTGCGATTTGACTCAAGATCCAATAATTTTGGATGCCAAATCGCCATTCATGACGCCAGTAAAAGGGTTGCAGCTTAGAATTAGGAAACTGTGATGGATTTTTATTTATAGTAAAATTGTATGATAAAATAAACAGTGTAGTAGGCCATTGAAGTATAAAATAAAATAAAAAAAAATTAGCAAATTTGACAACGTTAGAAAATGCTTTGATATTTATACAGCGTTGTCAAATTGCAATTGGTTGTGTAATCTTTTGTTGATATATTTTTTTTAAAAAAGGTTAAAGATTCAAAACGAAAAATCTCTATTATTAATCTGCATTCTTTCAATGAGAAATCATTGAATCAAAAACAATTTTCGAAAAAACAAATAATTGGCAACGTCGTTTAAAGCTTTGGGCATTAGGACACTGTTGTCAAATGTTTTTTAATTACAAAAAATGCAATTGAGATAAATAAAGAAAAATATACTACATTTGAATAAAATCTTAGAAAATGAATCATAAACTCAAAATAAAATTTAGCACAGTTTCACATTAATACATAAAACCAAAAACACTGTTGCCATATCTTCAGAAAAATTAGTAGTATTTCCAAAAAAAAAAAAAAAATTAAGAGAATATATTTTCTTAAATTGTATTTTTTTCATTGAATAATTTTGATATTTCAGTATGATGAGCTCCTTTTTTCTCCTGTTCTCACAGTTTCAAAATTTTTCCCTTACCATTTTTCCAAAAAAAATATCAAAATGTGAAAAGGATTTTGCTTTCCTATTTAAAAGTAGATTTTTTGAAAGTTCTCAATCATATTGTTATAAAGTTTCAAAATTTTTTCGTCACTAGTATTCCATTAAAATATCAAAATGTGAGAGAGTATATTTTGCCAATTTAAAAGTAGGTAGATTTTCTAAAGTTTCTCACATTGTCAATTTTCACTGAATCAATTTAAAATTTTAGTATACTGCGCTTTCTTTCTTCTTCTTTTCACTCCAAAACTTTAATAACTTTCCCATCATTAGTTTTTCAAAAAAAAAAATTAAAATGTGAGATACCTAGTGTATTTTATTCTATTTCCTATTTAAAAGTAGAGTTTCTAGAATTTCTCACATTGTCGTTTTTCACTGAATTAATTCGAAATTTTAATATAATGAGCTGAATTTTTTCTTCTTTCGACCCAAAAAGTTTCAAAATTTTCCCTTTTACAAAAAGATGAAAATGTGGAAAAATGTATTTTGCTCAATTTCCTATTTAAAAGTAAAATTTTTAGAATTTCTCACGTTATATTTCACTGAATAGATTTGAAATTCTAGTATTATGAGCTTATTTTCTTCCTCTTTTCACCCCAAAAGTTCCAGAATTTTCCTTTCACTAGTTTTCTAAAAAAAATTTAAATTGTGAGAGGGTGTGTTTTGCCCGATTTCCTATTTAAAATTAGATTTCCTAGAATTTCTGATATTGTCATTTTTCACTGAGTCATTTCGAAATTTTAGTATAATGAGCTTTATTTCTTCCTCTTTCCACCCTGAAAAAATCAAAATTTTCCCCTCACTAGTTTTGTGAAAAAATATTAAAATATGAGAAGGTGTACCTATTTTGAACAATTTCCTATTTGAAAGTAAATTTTAGAAAATTTCTCACAGTCACATTGTCATTTTCTACTAAATTATTTTGAAATTATAGTATGATGAGCTCCTTTTTTTCTTCTTTTCACCCTAAAAGTTTTAAAATTTTCCCATTACTAATTTTTCAAAAAAATATCAAAATGTAAGAAGGTGTATGTTGCTCAAATTCCTATTTAAAAGTAGATTTTCTAGAATTTTTCACATTGATTTTTCACTAAATCATTTCGAAATTTTAGTATGATGAACTGCTTTTCTTTCTCTTTTCATCCCAAAAGTTTTAAAACTTTTCCCTTTCTAGTTTTTCAAAAATAGATTTAAATATAGGAGAGTGAATTTTGCTCGATTTTCTATTTATAATTACGTATTCTAGAATTTCTCACGTTATTATTTTTGATTGAATTATTTTGAAATTTTAGATGATGAGCTTTTTTTCTTTCTCTTTTTACCCCAAAAGTTTCAAAATTTTCCGCTAACTAATTTAAGAAAAAAAAAATCAAAATGTAAGAGAGTGTATTTTGTTCAATTTCCCATTCAAAAGAAGATTTTTTGGAATTTCTCACATTGTCATTTTTGACTGAATTGATTTTAAAGTTTAGTATAATCAAAGAATATTATAGACTAACGTCTCTAGAAGTCTCGTCCGTATTCTGATTTTTGATACCTCGATGGACGCCGGCTTTTGCCGGTGTGGACGCTGGCTCGAGTCTATTGCCCACTGTTGCCGAGTTGTCAGTGCTGTTGATTCAGCGTCCAGCCAGCGAGCCAGCATCCGTGTCTGCTTCTCTGAATGAAGTTATTAAAGTGAAATATTTGCTTTGCGTGCATAGGGAGACAAACGCGTGCCAAAAGGAATTAGGAAGTTAAGCATATATTTTCTAACATATTTGATAATTTACCAACGAATATCATAGATGGATGCTATTCTATCATTTTCTTTAGGTTTTTTTTTCAGTATATTTGGCAAATTTGCCACTTGGAAATTTATGTTTAATTTCGAATTATGAATTATTTATTTATTTTCCAGTAGATCGGTTTATTTACCAACAAGTAAATTTTGGGGTCGGTCAAGTTTCCGCCTGTATTAAACAAATTTCAAAAATAAATACCTAAACCATAATAATTTTGTACACTATAACTAAAATATTGCACACAACACAACGAAAACTAGAGTACCTATTTTTTTAAACTAGGGGCAAACTTGACCGTTCCCCCTTGTTTGTCTAAAACTTGAAAAATTCCTATGCTACTTGGTTCACCTAAATTTGCACAATTTCGCATGCCTATTTTCAAATTTTGCACACTTTTCTGGGGAAAGTTAAAGTATGTTTTTTTTTAAAGATAATTCCCCAAGTCAAAAATTCAATAACTATGTTAGCAACACAAGCCTTTTCTACATAAAAAATTTGAAACCATTGACAATTTTACATTGCATTGCCAACTTAATGTCATTTTGACTTTTATCTTTAAAAAAAAAAACTTTTTCTACAAACGTGTCAAAAATGCAATTTTTAACACCCCCCGTAGCATTAAAAATGTTATTTTATCGCACTAGTGCCATAAAGTCTTTATAGCACTAGTGTTAAAAATGAAACATCAAATTTTGAGAGCGAACGTCAAAAATGTTTGTATTTTTAGTTATTTACATTGATATTAATGGTAAAATTGGAACAACTGAGGTAGCCCGATTGGCCGCCTCATCTATATTTTTCAAGGGATCGATGCAATCTTCTCTTTCTTCTCTAGCAAAAATAATTACTGACCACGACATACTTTCAAGAAACTGACAAGACATTTCATTACCTGTAAAACAAGGTGCTGGTTGTTTGGATCTTTTGATAAATGTCAAATTCAATAATTTTATGTAGGAAAGATGCTTCCAATTTATTATTCATTGAAAAATCCAATTTGATGACGTCATAATTTAGAAATCTTAGATTTTACTATCACTTTTCCGCGATTGTAAACCCACTTTTCCGCAAATATTACCTCATTTTTTCGCGATTCTTATCTCACTTTTTCACAAATTCACACTCACTTTTTTTGTAATTTTTGACTCATTTTTTTTGTGATTTTTGACCTACTTTTTTGCAATTTTGTTTTCACTTTTTTTGAGATTTTTGAAAAATATTTTTTTTTTTATTTTTGACTCATTTTTTTGCAATTTTACCATCACTTACCGCAATTCTAAATCCACTTTTTCACGATTGTAAATCGACTTTTCTGTAAATATAATCTCATTTTTCCGCGATTCTTGTCTCACTTTTTTTTGCGATGTTATCCTCACTTTTCCGCGATTCATATTTCATTCTCCGCGATTTTATCCTTACTTTTCGTGACTTTATCCTCATTTTTCCGTGAGTCTCATCTTACTTTTCCGCGAGTTTAAATTCACTCTTTTTGAAATTTTTGACTCATATTTTTCTTGCGATTTTTGACTCTTTTTTTTGTGATTTTATCATCACTTTCCACGATTTTATCCTCATTTTTCCTCATTTCAAAATTACGAAAATAACGATAATTTTTGAAAAGTTACGAAAAATTACGTAAAATATGAAAAATTAGAGAGAGTTGCAAACATTTACGAGAATTACGGAACATTACGAGAATCACGGATAAACAAAAAAATGCGGAAATTACAAAAATTATGGGAATTGCCAAATATTACGCAAAAGAATTACGAAGTCACTCCAAAATTACGTCAATTATTTAAATATTACTAATTTTTGAAAAGTTACGAAAACTAACAAGACAAATTACGGGAATTACGAAAAATAATGGGAATTTTAAAAATTTACGGAACCTAGTAAAATGACGGAAATGACGAAAATTTGCGGGAATTATGAGAAATTATGAAAATTACGAGAATTGAGAAAAATACAAAAAACTACGAAAATTACAAAAATTACGGGTATTACGAAATATTACGGAAAAGAATTACAAAGTCATTTCAAAATTACGTGAATTACGGTAATTCCCAAAATAACGGAAATCACAATTTTTTGAAATTACGAAAATTACAATAACTTAGGGAGAATTAGAAAATTCCGAATTTTTTTGGAAATTAGGAAAATTGAAAATTAAAATAATTACTGGAAAAAGCGCGAAAAATTGCGGGAATAACGAAAATTACCAAGTTTTCCAAAAATTGAAAAAAATAACGGGGAATTAGAAAATAACAAGAATTATCTCAGAAATGACACGAATTAAAAAATTTCGAAAATCCCCAAAAAAAAATACGGAAATTACCAATTTTCGAAAATTTCAAAAACTTAAAGAAAATTATAAAACTAACGAAATTTTTTTGAGAAATTACGGAAATTAAAAAATTACGAAAATATGTAATGGAAATTACGAAAATTTCGAGTTTTTCGAAAATTGTAAAAACTAAGGGGGTATTAGGAAAATAACGAGAATTATCTGAGAAATGACAGGAATTACAAGATTTCGAAAATTCCCAAAATAAAATACGAAAATTACGAGACTTATATAATTTCAAAATTAT